AGAGTCTGTTCATCAATTATCTAAAATACTAAAAAACAGAAAAAGATTTCTCACTACAAAGATGTTGCAAAATTTCTCATTTTTTTATACTCCCCTCCCCTCTGGCACGTGTGGGTTTCTGGTATTAGGTTCTGTAGTAACCCAACAGGTAAACTAAGTATCCACATAGAGTCCAGTATAACAGGAGAACCAAAGTAATACAAACAAATAAAGTAATTTCACGCATATTTTTAAAAATCACAAGCATTGTCATGAACCAAAAAAAGTAATAATACGTTTACTGGACTTCCTTACTTTTATTTTATTTTGGGGGTCATGTAATTTGAAATCTATACACAGGAGTATGATCTTGGTTCAGTAATGCTTTAAGGATATCTCTGATCATGTTTTATATAAAGGAAAGTATAAGAATTGGCAAATGATTGTGATATTAAAATTTATACACTTCCCTTGAATATCTATTTTTTTTCAGTCTTGGAGGGTATAACATTTCCTGAAACTTTACTGGCTAAATGGATAAAGTTTCCTGATTCTTTATTAACGAAATACTTCCTGTAGGCTTATGTCAGTAGAGAGAGAGAATGGGTCCTATTAGCTGGCTCAGAGAAGAAGACTTAGAACAGGCATTAGAGAAAAAGGGGCCCCGGCTGATTAAGAACAAGTCAGCTAAGTCAGGAATGCACACAGATCGTGGCCATTGTGGATGCTATGCATTTAGCATGTTTATGATCAATGGCTTAGAATTTCTTCTCCAACAGTGAGCAGCAATCTGAGATGTCCAGGGTTCCAAGCCAATTTGTATTCCCACCAAACTTGTGGGTAAGGTAAGTAAGTGTGCTAGCAAATGGGGGCAATGACTGTGAAAACAGCCGAGACAATCAAGCTTGGGTCCCATTAGGGGAGGGCAGAGGAGGCACACAGACTAAGGAAATCAAACAGATCCAAAGACTGAAACCCTCTATGGGAGCAGAAAGTGGACACGATGAGAACAAGAAAATGACAACCTTGTACTGATGGAGCTGGTAATTCAGAGAGTAAATATTGCTATATATTTTTCAGGTGGAGCTTTCTAGGACTTCCTGAAGTTTCCAGGATATGTCCCTGGAAATAGGTGGTTCCATGAGACCATTGTTGAAGTAAAAATAGATGAAGGATGAGCCAGTTACATGAACAGTAAACCGCCTGATCGTTGCGATAGTTTCGGTGGAGGTAAAGGCTGTGCATTGTGCTTCTGCAGTGAATTAGGCCAGTGACTCAAAGGAGAGTAGCTGGCTTTAGGTTTGCCATCATTTCTCTCTGCAACTGCTGTTTGACCTTCTCCACATGACTCATTCTCTGTGGCAGTCATTCATGCTACTTGTCTAATATTTCTCTCTGCCCTGCACGCACATAATAAGATTGTAGAACCCGACCCTCTTGAAAAGCAAGACAGTGGATTTTAGATGCCCTTGTATTTTTATTATTTCTATTAATTTTACTAATGGTGAGAGCAGATACTATTCACTGAGTGCTTGCTTATAAGGCCTGCACTGAGTCAAGCAATTTAAGTGTATCATTTTATGTAAGCCTTCTAACAACGAGCTCTTATTATCTCTGACACAGGTGAGAAAATGAAGGCGTGTAATATTTATAACTTGAAGGCAGTGGAGCTATTTTGAACCCAGGCATCCTGACAACAGAGAATCTTAGGAATAAAAAGAGGTATGACTCTAAATTTTGTGTGTCAACATGAGGGAGCTGTGGGGGTTCAGACACTCAGTTAAACGTGAGTTCTGGGAGTGTCTGTGAAGATGTTTCTATATGTGATTAGCATCTGCATGTCAAGTGAGTAAATCTGCAGACTGAGTAAAGCAGTTTTCCCTCCCCACTGTGGGGGCAGGGCATCATCTGATCCCTTACAGGCCTGAACAGAACAAAAAAAGGAATAAGGCAGGATTCACTCTCTGTCTGCTTCACTGTCTTTGATCTGGGACATTAGTTTTCTCTTGCACTTGGACTGAAACTAAGACCATTTGTTCTCTTGGTTCTCATGCTTTCAACCTCAGACAGAATTGCACAGCATCAGCTCTACCGGGTCTCTAGCTTGCTGACTGCTCACAGTGGAACTTCTCGTCAGTGAGCCAGTTCTTAATAATAAATCTCCTTATGTCTGATTGGTTCTGTTTCTCTAGAGAACTTTGACTCAAACAAGGGGGGTAACAGAATTTGGGTAGCTTTTTTCTTCCCAATATAGACCTTTATTCTTTCCTATTCTCCTACTCTTCTCTCCACGCAAATTCTAAGAACATCGTCATTTCTTCTACTGAATTTCCAACATAGAGAGCAGTAGATACTCAGTGGGCACTAACCAAGTAGAACTGTCATTTAATAAGAATACTTGAGATTTGATTTTTTTCCCAGCCTCAATGTAACATAGCCTGTAGGTTTCTGGGAAGTTTCTCAGACTACACAGGCGCCTCATGTGGCTGATTCATCTACACACCTGCCTAAAAACAAGAATCCACACTGAATAAAATAAGTACATTTCTGGAAATTCAATGCTAAATCATTCATTGAGATATCCTTATAAATAGCACCAAGTCAAGAATATTAAAAATAAGTATGCATTTATAGCCACCTTTCTATCATAGAAAAAACAAAAATAAAAGTTCTGAAAAATATCTAATTTTCTTAATAATGTCCATATCTACTTACATTCTAATCACTCACACACTGGCACTTACTAGTGTGCTCAAATAATGTTATTTGCAACTAAGTAATAAGCATTTTTATAGCCCAGTCAATATATTTTAATTACTCAAATTAAGCACTATTATTATGCACTATATTTTACTGATATAAACATTAAATGAAAGTAGGATTTAAAAAAATATATCAAAACATAAAAGCAAGATGAGTGGCTTTAAAAGTTGTTTCCTAGTCTCGTGCATCAGAAATAGAAAGAAAAGAAATGATGAAACTTAGTTAAATGTTTATTTTACAATTACTAGAATAACATACTCAGTGTATGTTTATGGAATTTCTGATCCAGGTCACATTACTGAGAAATATATTGCCTGTCACTGGGTTTCACCTTTAGAATAGGGTAAATATAACATTTACATTTACTAGGAAACCAAAACATTTGTGTGATGTGCTTAATCGCGATATTTGCGTTATGGCCACGGTCTGGAGTCGGACCCTCAGCATCTCAGAGGTATGCCTGTAATCATTCTTGTTTACTAGAAGCGATAAGAAATACCTCATTTAACTGCACTTCACTTCATTGTAATGAGTTTTCTCTTACCAGGTGAAGGTCTGTGGCCACCCTGAGTGACAGCAAGTCTAAAAAGTGCCAATTCTTCAACATTTCCTTGCTGCCTGTGTCTGTGTCGTGTTTTGGTACCGATAACAATATTCCATTTTTATTATTATTATAGACTTTTATTATTATTTATAGACTTTTCCATTATTATTATGTTTTCATGGTGATCTGCAATCAGTGACCTTTAATGTTACCATTAGACCCGTTTGGGGGCGTCATAAACCAACCCTACATACGTACAGTACAGCGAGACTGATGTTGTTTTCATGCCTGATGACACAGCATTCATCCTGCAGCCCATGGGTCAGGTAGTAATTTTGAGTATTATATCAGAAATATATTTTGTCAGGCTATTTTGCTGCCATAGATAGAATCCTATGGATCTGGTCACACTAAATTGAAAACTTTCTGGAAAAGATTCACCATTCTAGGTGCCATTAAAAGCATTTGTGATTCATGTGAAGATGTCAAAATATCCACATTAATGGGAATTCAGATGTTGATTTTAACACTCATGGATGATTTTGGGGGGGTCAAACCTTCAGTGGAGTAAGTAACTGCAGATGTAGTGGAAATAACAAGAGAACTAGAATTAAAAGTGGAGCCTGAAGATGTGTGTGAATTGCTACAATCTCATGTCAAAACGTTAAAGGATGATGAGCTGCTTTTTCTGGATGAGCAAAAAAAGTGGTTTTTTAATTTGGAACCTTCTCGTGGTAAAGATTTTGTGAAGCTTGTTGAGATGAAAATAAAGGTTTTAGAGTATTACATAACGTAGTCAATAAAGCAGTGTTGGGGTTTGAGAGAATTGATTTCAATTCTGAAAGGAGTTCTACTGTGGGCAAATGCTAACAAACAGCATTGCATATAGAGAGAAATCGCTATGAAAGGAAAAGTCAATCGATGCAGCAAATGCCATGGCTGTCTTACATTGAGAACTTGCCACAGCCACCCTGAACTTCAGCAGCCACAGGCCTGATCAGTCAGCAGCTATCAACACCAAGGCACAACCCCCCTCCAGCAAAAAGACTAGGATTTGCCAAAGGCTCAGAAGATTATTAGCGCTTTTAAGCAATAAGGTATTTTTTCATTAAGGTATATATATTGTTTTTAGACATAATGCTATTGTACACTTAATAGACTACAGTATGGTATAAATGTAACATTTATATTTACTAGGAAACCAAAACATTTGCATGATGTGCTTAATAGCGATATTTGCCTTATGGCCACAGTCTGGAGTCGAACCCTCAGCACCTCAGAGGTATGCCCGTAATCCTTCTTTTTTATTAGAAGCAATAAGGAACTGTGGGCTAAAGTGAGATCACCTTTCATCTCTCACAAATCCTAAGGGACTGTGTTTCCAAGACCATCAAACGTAAATGATTGATGTGACGTGACAAATTACAAGTAGTTTTTAATGGGCTGGTTTGGACATGTTGGGAATTGCATTTTTCTTTGCCTTATTCATTCTTCTTCTTGACAACGCTTTTTGACATTCAGATTCTGCTACCCAGCACACTGTGGGTGTTGGAGGTACATAATTAAATTTATCTCCATGATTTTTTTTTGCATAAAAAGCTAATATGAAGCTCCATAAATCTCCCTCCGATGTGCAAAAACATGAAGAGCCCTCAAGGAGAGAAGCATAATTGAATAACAACCTTGAAGTGTACATCTTTACCATGGTTCTTACCTGGTCATGTAGCTCTTCCCGAGTGAGTGTTACAGGAATATTTTGCAAGCTGACCCAACAGCAGAGGCTGCAAAAAGGGAATAAAAAATTCCTTCACTTAACTTGCGGTTTTTCAGTCTATGTTATTCTGTATGAAATGTTACCACCTGAGGTTTTTCTATCTATTATAAAATGGCAGTTAATAAAATACCATTTTATGAATATCTATATGTGTATATGCATACACACAAATAGGTACAAAAATATAATTGGAAAGAATGGAAATAATAAAAACCAATAAACTAGAGTTTATTCACATGCTCATTCAAGTAATATTTATTGAATAGTTACTGTGGGTCAAACATTGTACTAAGTGCTTTGGAAGTAATTTTTAAACATTAGTTTCTATTCTAAGTAGTAGGAGGAAGACTCTAAAATAAAGAATGACATAAAAATATTTAATTACCATCATGGCGAGTGCACAACAGAAGTACTACGTGCTGTGAGAATATATACTGAAGACTCAGAACTAGTTATATGAGGGAAGATGTTGAGAATAAGTAGGTTTAGCTATGAAATTAATATTTAAGTTGCAACCTGGAGTATGAATTACAAGGTAGAGAGGATTACCAAGCCATATCTATCAAAATATATGCATTCCTTGGATTTTAAATTCAGAAATCTCTGAAGGCTGTGCCTCACTGGAAAAGACTGCATAATGAATGGCATCAAGTCTGTGAATATTTTACAATATCCCAACCACCACTACAAATGAAATATTATTTGGCAACTAAAAACTGAGACCAAAAATGATTTTGAGAAGAAAATTGCTTATTGCTTCTATTTCTCTGCTGCACCTCCTATTTTCTCCATAAATTCTTTTCCCATTGTGACCCCCAAAGAGTCCTGAAAAAGGATTATGGAATAGTCAAAGAAGCAGTATCTGAGGAAAAGGCAAATAATAAACAGCAGACCAGACTATTATAAATCTCTCTTGACAAATTCTGGCTTGCAGGAAATGAGGCTGACTCCTCCCTGATGCTTCAGCCATGGGGCCCTATTCTGTGCCAAGGCGTGGACTGAGGACACAGGCTTCCGTTCTTAAGCATCAGCACCCAGAGCTGACAGTGAAACTCCACTGTCCCTGCCTGCCTGGCCCTGTGAGCTCTAGTGGCGGTTCTCTGTGGCTGCTGAGCTGTTCCTGGGGGACAGATGTGTGCGTGTGGTCCCATTTGCTTGACCCACCACACCGCCGTTCCCCTCCGGGAGCCTCACCTCCTCGGTGGTGCAGCGGGGGCCATGGCGCTGCTCCCTGTTCTTTCCAGACCTGCACGCAGAGCAACAGCGAGAGAGTATGTCAAACATACCCGACTAGCTAAAATAGAATACGATAAATCTGATAATATCAAGATTTGGCACAGAGGAGACAAGAATTTGTATGTAAAAGTGCTGAGGCACTGATGTATTGATAAATCCACTTTGGAAAACATTTTTGCAATATCTCTTAGGGGTGAAAATGCACAGGCATAAAATCCTTCAAGGGTATTCATACTAAGAATCCTTCAAGGCTATTCATACATATTCATAACAACAGATGTGTTAAAGGATGTGCATCATAACATTAATTGTAATCTAAAGAATCACAAACAATCTAACTGAAATGTTTGTCTACAATCCAAATATAAAATTGAATTTTGGTATATACAGGTCTAGAAAGCAATATTAGCGAAAGCAAGCAGTGGCAGATTGATATATAGTATAATAACATTTCCATAAATTAAAAACATAAAAATTCTCTACTGGACATATACACACAGAAAAATACAAAAACTTTAAAGGTATATAACCTATTTATGACCTTAGTTTACCCTCTCATGCAAGTAGAAGAGAATATAGAAGGAAACAAACGGAACTTAAACTTGATTGATCTGGAATTTCCTTATTCCAAAACATTTTACTGAAAGAGAAAAAAGCATGGTTATGTTTCTAGCTCTTGTGTTAGGTAACAGAGTGCAAGGTAACAGCTCTCTATACATTTTTACTTTGAAAAGCTCTTCAAAGTAAAATAACTATCATCCAGGTGTCGGTTCTTCCGAAATTGATCTATAGATTCAGTGCAATCCCAGTAAGAATCCCACCATGTTGTTTATGGATATTGACAAACTGATTCTGAAGTTTATTTGGAGAGTCAAAAGATCCATGATATCCAATAGGATACTAAAGGAGAAGAACAAAGTTGGAGGACTGATTGCACCTGACTTCACAATGCTCTATAAGACTAAAGTAATCAAGACAGTATGCTTGGTGGATGAATAAACCAACAGATCAATGGAACAGAATAGAGCCCAGAATAGATCCCCATAAATACAATCAACTGTTGTATGACAAAAAGGTCAAAGGCAATATGGTGGAACAATGACAATCTCTTCAACAAATGGTGCTGGAACAACCAAACATTTATATGCATGCATGCAAAAAAAAAAAAATCTGGACACCAGTCACAAAAATTAAGTCAGAATGGATCACAGACCTAAATGTAAAACATAAAACTATCAAACTCCTAGAAGATAACACAGAAGAAAACCTGATGACCTTGGGTATGGTGATGCCTTTTTAGATACAACTTTAAAGATACAATCCATGAAATAAATCATTGATAAAATGAACTTCATTCAAATTAAAAACTTCTGCCATTCAAAAAACAATGTCAAAGGAATTAAAAAAAATAAGTCACTGGCAGGGAAAAATATTTGCAAAAGATACATCTAATAAAACACTGTTATCCAAAATGCACAGAGACCTTCTAAAAGTCGAAAATAAGAAAACAAACAAACCTACTAAAGAGTGGGCCAAAGACCTTAACAGACTTCTCACCAAAGAAGTTACACAGATGGAAATAAGCATATGAAAAAATGGCCAGTAGATACTTAAAAGATGCTCCAGTCACTAATCAGAGAAATGCACATTAAAACCACAATGAGATACCACCTCATGCCTGCCAGAATGGCCATCATTAATAAACCAACGAATGAGTGTAGGTGAGGATGTGAAGAAAAGGGAACCCTCACGCTCTGTGGGTGAGAATGCAGACTGGTGCAGAGACTCTGGAAGACTGCATGGAGTTCCCTCAAAGAATTGAAAATGGAACTCCTTATGGTGCAGTGATTCCAGTTGCAGGAATATATCTGAGGAAACCAAAAATACTTATTTGGAAGAATATACACATGCCTGTGTTCCCTGTAGCAGTATTTACAATAGCCAAGATTTGAAAGTAGCCCAGGTTCCCAACAGTAGATGAGCAGCTAAAAAAGGCTATGGTACATTTACACAATGGAATAGTATGTGAGCATAAAAAAGAAGAGAATTTTACTTTTCGTGACAACATTAATGGTCCTGGAGAACATTATGGTAGGTGAACGAGCTAGTTAGAGAAAATACAAATGCCATATAGTCTCCCCTCTATGTGGAATCGAATGAATAAACTAACAAACAAAATAAAACAGACTCATACATACACAGAACAGACTGACAGCTGTCAGAAAGGAGGGGGTTTGGGAGGCTGGGTGACAAAGGTGAAGAGATTAAGATAAAGAAGAGACAGACACAGCAACAAGGTGATGACCGCCAGAGAGAAAGGGGGTGAGGGAGGTGGAGGAGGGCAAAGGGGAGAGAAATGGTAGTGGAAAAGAACTTGACTTTGGGTCAACTATCACACGATGCAGTGTGCAGATGATGTGTTACAGAGTTGTACACTTGAACCTGTGTGGTTTGGTTAACCAATGTCACCCCAATAAATTCAATTTAAAAAAACCCAAAGATCCTCCAGATCATATGTCATCAGAAAAATCCAATTAAAACAACAACTAGATACCACTACACACCCATTGGAATGGTCATATCCGGAGCACTGACATCACCGAATGCTGGAGAAGATGTGGAGCAGCAGGAAGTCTGATTCATTGCTGATGGGAGAGCACAGTGGGGCAGCCACTTGGGAAAACAGTTCGATAGTTTCTTAGACCATGAAACCTACTCTCACCATGTGATCCAACAGCTGGTATTTACCCAAAGGAGATTAAACCTTATTTCTACACAAAAACTTGCACATGGATGTTTACAGCTGCTTTATTCATAATTGCCAAAACTTGGAAGCAACCAAGATGTCCTTCAGTAGCAAATACGTAAATATGCTGTAGCCCATGCTGATAATAGAACATTATTCAATGTTAAAAGGAACAGAGTTATCAAGACATGGAGGAAACTTACATGCCTATTTCTGCATACTGCATGATTCCTACCACATTCTGGAAAAGGCAAAGCTATATGAACAGTGAAAAGATCAGTAATTTCCAGGGTTTGGGTCGAGGAGGCTTGAACAAACAGGTGAAGCACAGTGGACTTTTTAGGGCAGTGAAACTAACTCCATATGATTCTATAAAAGTAGACATATGTCCTTCCACATTTGTTCAAACCCATAACATGTACAACAGCAATGAACGAACTCTGAAGTAAATTCTGGACTCTGGGTGATACTGAGGTATCTGTGTGAGTTCATCAATTGTAAGGAAGGTACCGCTCCGGTTGGTTGGAGAAGATGATACTGCGCATGTGTGGGAGAAGGTGTGGAAGAAAGGGTATGTGGGAAATCTCTGTACCTTCCTCTTAACTCTGTTGTGAACCTAAACACTCTCTTCTTAAAAAACAGAACAGGGTAATTTTACCATAAAAGGAATAGAACAATATTTTCTTTTTACCTTCAAAATGAGAAGACATAAGAGATTGTACTAAGTTCGTTTCTAAGTATAAATTGGCTGGAGGGCCACATTAACTGCCTCTTCTCCGCAAAACATTATCTCCAGATCGGTGTCTGATTTTCTAGACTCTTCTGGTTCCAACTCTCCCCTCATGACTAACGTCTTTTCCATTCTGTTTTCTTCCATTTTATCTGGGTTTTGGCTCAAATACTACTGCAGATAAAGTAACAGACAATCGGAACTGAGTCGGTTCAAATAATTGAATGGCTCCTGGAAATCACCAGTAACTACTGCGTTTACTAGTATTTGTTTATATCCCTTCTTATTTGCTAC